TATATATATTTATCTATTTGATGTTAGGTTGATAATGCTCAGCTATCATGTCATTTTTTAGTGTTTAATTATTTTTTAATTAATATGGGGCAGTGAGGCACTGCATATAAAGTTGTTTAATTGATTGATGGTATAAAATAGCATCTCGACCACTACTATGTCCATCATATCTCAGCTGGTCTGATGAGCCCTTGTATTGGGTGAAAAGACTCATCAGCACCAGATATAGCAGATAGTATGATTGATATTTTTATTACATTCTTCATTACTTTCATTCATGAGTTATATAATTAGCATACACTAATTTGTCAGGTTGTTTTGTTCAACCATTATGCAGCCCTCTAAAATTAAATTATTTTGTAATTCTAAAATTGATATTTTATATTTTGAAAATAATTGTAAAAATCTTATTAAAAATTGTTATGTTATAAATCTATTAACGTACCTAGTTCAAGTATTTTTAAAGTTAGCATGCAACATTCATATTGTTAAGTAAACATGCATTTAAAACAAGTCTTTAACCTAAAGAAAAAAGAATACAATAATATCACGTACAATCAATGCCAATAGTGCAATGCTGGTTGTTAGTAATAATTACAACCAGTAGTAAAATTTTTTACTATAGTTATACATGGCTGACTATTTTAGTTTGAATATGCAAATAAACATGTCACATGACAATCACAGCTGATATAAAGTTGCAGTGAATGACACGTATCAGAATTACATTTTGACATTGTTAAAAATTTATTGCTTTTGGGAAGCAGTCTGTTGGGTGCAGTCTTTTGCTGTGAAAACTATACTGCAGGATTGACAACATGGATTGTAATTTATTTTAATATAACATTCACAAAATCTGTATAATGATAAATGTTACATATATGCTAACCTTTATATATGAAAATAAAAATATAAAATTAAGTTTTTACTTATTTTTAAGCAGATTACAATTGAAATACATATTGGAAAGTTTGAAATGACATTTTCAAAAATATCCGAAGAAAAAACTTCTTAAAATTAAAATCTACACTTTCAATTAAAAGTAAACCAATAACCAATGGTGAATTACAACTAACAGTAACTTGGACAAATCCATAAAACATTCTAATATTTCTAAATAAATATTCAAATAAATTTGTACCCTGGCAAAAGCTGGCAGCTTAGTTAGCTCTTGAAGCTGTGTCCTCCACTTGCGCTCATCAGAAAGATCAACATTTGTTCCAAACTTTATTGTCTTGAATGTACTAGCTTTCTTCCCTTTCTTTCCTCTTAAGAATAAAGAAAGAATAATAAAATCATTTTCGTGCAAGGAGCTAACCCCTTTTTACTATTTAAGTAGGGTTATGAACTGATTGAAAATAGATGCATTCTATGTATTCTTGTTTGGTGTTAAAATATCACAAGAAAATCTAATTACAGAAACTAGCTACATATCTGTCTAGAATGGAAAGTCTGACTTGATTTTTTGTTGCTCTCTCATATTTTTCTTTGTTTTGTGGACCAAACTTTTTAACTGCTTAGAACACAACTTAACTGTTGCCTTTTTTGTTTTATATTTAACTTAGAGTTAATGTGTAATATCAAACTGTAAAAACTTGGCAATTTGCATGCATATACATTGTTAAACCCTCTTTTTAGATAGTCATTAGCCATTCAAATATTGTTGTGATAACATTGGTAGCTCCCTCATATGGTTACTTTTAGACTATGAGTATTGACAAACTGAATCAACAACAAAAATATTTCTACCAGGCTGCAGCTGGAATTACAATTTAAGTGAAATTCTTGCTCAATCAGAATTGTTTCCACTCCAACCAGTCTTTTTTGGGTCATGGTTGATATCAGATCCTTACATTACTAATGTGCATATTTTACCATTCACTATTGTGAGGTACAGGTGTTATACTATATTGAGTAATATTATTTTTTTGTCCTTTAAAATCATCTATAACCCACTAACAGTTCATAGTTTAAAGATAACTTATTAATGCATAATGTTTAAATTGTTTAAAAATGTTAAAGGTAAAAATAGTTGAATGGAACAGAATTTAGTGACAAAGTTTCGAATGTGGCACCAAATGCTCTGTTGTTGTTTTTTTTCTTTGTGCTATTCAATGTTTAGCACAACAAACATTCTTAACACTATAAACAACCATAACTAATATCTGCTTTTTTTTTTTCATTCTACCACAAGCTGTCTACCTGTTTTAATACAAAAAAAATCTTACTTGGTATCCACATATAGTTGAAATCAGATAGTTATTAATGTCATTGATCATTTGTCCATTTTGATTTTGATAGCAGTTACCAGTATATTTATACTTGCTACATTAATTCTCATGTCTAGTTTTGGAGCAAATAGATAAATGAGCAAATACCTTGAAATTAAGCATATTATTATCCTGGTTCAACAGACACAGGAATTTTAGATTTGAAATGAGCATCACAGTGAATAGTCATAATATTGACTTGTTGCAGTAAAATCTCAAACCCTGCTTATGATAAACTGAAACTAAAAGGTAAACAAATGGGTTAGAAACCACCTAACAGTAAATTTAAGTTGTAGTTTTCTTGTAACAATGCAGATACACATAGTAATGTTTTACAGTTATTGGTTTCATAATCATGTGAATGATGATTAAAGAACACATTTCAAAAAATATATGTAAAAACTACATTGTAATCAGTAAACCTGAATTTAGCATTGGAGGTGTAATTTCTAATTTGAATTTTTACTTCCTTTAGTGACAAAACCTGTAACCAGACAATACAAATTGCAGTTAATTTACCTTAGTGTGTGTGAGGAAGATGCTGAATCACTGTCAGTGTCTCTTTCTTGTTCTTCCTGTAAAAAAGTCAAAATACAGTTAAATTTATTCAAAGCATTATCACTATGTAATATTATAAAATAAGGTAGTGTCTAATGATAAATTTAATGAACATTTCATTATTCTCAATCTCTTAACTTATTAGCCATGATATTTTATCATCCACATTTTAATGCTTGTCTCAAATATAAAGTGGTCAACTCCATCCTTTTCAGGAATTCATCTGAAGTTAGTTGAATATCTCTGATAAATTTACTGGAGCTGAATGAGTATCAAATAGTCATCCAGAGTCTGTCCTATTTTCTAATACAGTCTAGTTGTTATTCATTTCCTTGTTCATTTTCAGTTCAAATTTTATACCATTACACATAAGCTTCAAATCTATATTTAGAAAAAAGCACTAAATTTGTTCTTACTTTCCTCTCAGATAAGTATTAATATCCTTCCAACTCCTAGCACTTACACTGAGAGATTCCTGGAAAGAGGAGGCTTGATACTGTGCATAACGAGCAATTGTAGTGTGTGATCGGTGACTCTCACATCTCCATATTAGTTTAGTTCTCTCTTGGTCCCAGTTCTCATCAGATGACTGCATTAGCTGTAAAAGTGTAGCAAAAACAATTAGCTTTCTTTAGTCCACTGTTAGGATATTAATCATCTAATTTAATGTTTTTCACTAGTAACATTTTTTTTTAAATAAATGTTTTATTTATGAATATCATTTCCATTACTTTTGTCAAAAGAAATTGAATAATTTACATATAGTAAAATCCACTTGGTTAAATACCTCTAATGGTTAGAAACTGAAATAGTTGGAAATATTTGCAATCATTCACACCTACAGTGCATCAGAAAACATTATAATGTAAGTACTCTTCATGGAATTTACAAATGTCCACATAAATCAAGCAAAAGCTGTACAATTCTGTTTTAATCTATATAATCAATTAAATTGCTATACAGCATGAATTTAGCCTTAAAATTGTGGTTAGTTCTTACTGGAGTGTAATAATTCATAGTATACAAGATGCTTGTGTATATGGATTGAAACATTATATATGACATCAACATTTGCTGTCATCAGGTTTGTACTAAGTATGCACCAGGTGGAATCCACATGTCTATTGTAAAACACTTAACTGAGATTATCTTAGTTACATTTGTGATATCATAACTTCCAAGATGTAATTTTAAAGTCAAAAAATGACCAGCAAATATTGCTGTAAATCTGTGTAGTCTCTGGAGCCAATTATGGTAAATATGAACATTTTAAATTCCATTGAATTAGTTATCAGCCCTGTGTTACTACAAACGAATATATCTTATAAAATAAAGCAGTTTATAAATTTTGTTATTATATTGACATGAGAAATTAGCTGTACTTTAGTTTAACATAAAACATTTTAATACATAGAGAAAGTTTCAAAATATTACCCTTTACAATCATTGACAATTTTAATAACAATATTACACACTCAAACAATATAATAGCACTCTGCCTTGACCTCTAAAAACATCCTTTAGAAGTTTAGACCAGTGGCATAAGTATGCCTCCACAGCTCCCATAATTGCAGAGGGGCCCGAAAAGCCTGACAAAATTAAGAATTGTCAACTAGGAGAATAAATGTTGGAGGCCCAATTACTTTTTATGCAGAGGGAGCCCCATCTCTTACTTTTAGAATTCAAGAATGGAAACCATTATTAAAAAAAGGACTCAAAACAAAACTTTAGATTGTCTTGAACATGGTTTTTAGCTTACAAATCATACACTATATAATCAAATTAGAAATGGCATCAATGTTTGAAATGGTTACAGACTAGGTACTATAATACCTGAATACGTAAATGTGTGATGTTTTGAACTGAAAGAAATATCTTTTCACTGAAATTCAAATTAAATGAAACACTTGAGAAACTTATCTTAAATATGTGATGAAAACTCTTAAGCTATTAGCAAAATAAATTTACTCCAATGAACATTACAAACAGAAACATACTTGTGTTCTGACTTCAATGCTGTGATCTGGATTAGCTTCTACTAGAGTTTTAGTTGAAAATAAACCCAAATCTGAAACAAAAAATTTATTATGTTTTCAAACTTAACAAACACTTTTCCAAACAGTGTATTAACTCACAAATTCCAAATTAAATATTTCACTTACAAGATAGAAACTATTGAAAATAATATCAATAATTTCTTATTTCATACCCAATAAAATTACTTGAAGTCCATTAACAATAATAATAATTATAAAGTGTAAATAAATAAGAAAAAATTTATTGTAATAATATCACTCTACAGCCTTTACTAATAAAATAGAGGGCAAAATTTCATAGGTTGAACCAATACTTTAGTAAATTCATTAAAAAAAAGATTACCAAAATTGCTAAAATTTCATTTGTATACTACTTCATGTACACTTGTCTTTTTCTTTTTGAGTTTTAATGAAAACGTAATATATAAAAACCTGGTGAGACATATAGCACTGTTAAAATACCTCACCCCCAAATCGGGCTTTTTGTTCTTGCTTTATTTTTACCTCAAACACTAAAATTAACCAAATGAAATGCTTCTATAACAGAGTTGCTTCAACTAAAAAAAATAAATCTAAGAAGAAATAAATTGTTGCACTAAGAAGTAACATATTAGTCTAACTTTGAAGTAAAGCTTACAAGAAAATGTATAAATCCAGTTAGCTGTTATTGGAATTCACTGTAACTAAGTACTTGGTGAGGTTATGGCAATCTGATATCAATCTTTACCATAGCTAGTAGCCTATACAATCACTAGAAGTGCCATTTCAGATTTCAATAAGGGCAACTTTTATTGGTGGCCCAAGGGCCAGCTAGATACTCTTGGATTTCTTTGATTTTATCTTTTAGTCTATTTTGGGAGAAATTGCTGTTATTAATTTCCTATATTACTTAATAAACATTTAAATAGCACAAACTACATATAAGTATTGTTCCAAAGATAAATAATGTTAACCCCTGCTCTACTTAAATAGCACCTGACAATTACCTAAGTCTATTTATCAATTAGTTACTATTTTTTTTGTTTTCAAGAGGGGTATTCAGGTTTTGCCAACTTTTGTGATTGGTTGACTGAGTGTGTTACTAGTTAAGTGGAATTAGAAGGCTTCTTTTGTCTTTATTTTCTCTTTCATGGTTCAAAACACATTTTATTATCATTATTACCCCTAATTTACAGTGGAGGTGTTATTTCTATTCATCTCTGTTTATAAAAAGTAGAACTCAAAAACTTATTTGATTTTGATCAAATTTGGTACAAAAGTTAAATATCTCCAATAACCAATATATTCCCTTTTGGTGAAGATAGGTCAAAGGTCAAGGTCACATTAATATCAACCATATAATTTGTAAAGTTTTCATCTAATTTTGATCAAATTTGTCATAAAGGTTTAGTGTCCCCTCAAAAAATAAATTATTAACTTTTGGTGAATGTAGTTCAAAGGTCAAATTCACCCTTGAGGTCAATTACTTTTTAAAAATGGTCAAAACTGAAGAACAAAGTAAGATAAAGAAAGTACCTAAATTTTTAAGAGAATAAGTAATTTTTTGGTGTAAATTTTAGGTTGGTTACTGCAAAAGTAAAAAACAGTGCAGAATAGGGGGTTCACTCCAATTACAGTTCCAATTTATTATACTATCTTCTTGGGGATGATTAACTATTTCATGTCTATTATGCTCCTGAATTCTACCTTTTCTTGGTCTTTTTGTTTCTCCAATGAATTGGATTCCACATTAACAAAGAATGTAGAAAATGAAAATGTTAAGCACTTTATTGAAACCCCAGACAAGTAAAATTTAAAAATACAAGGAAAACTGTTTAAAGCTAGAAACTGAAAATTTGCCATATTTTCCTGCACCAGATTAAAACCTATGGCAGGTTCGAACATAAAACACTTTCAAATTATGCACTTAAAACTTAAGTTATATGATGTTTGAATAAAATATTTAACGTCATTCATCCAGGTTTTTAACTGTGTGATATAATGCTGTAAATAATGTTTCTGTTTTCCATTGGGTCTTTAGGTGGTTTGGTGTATACTAACTGTGATAATATTGATTTGTGGCTTTGAATACTGTGTGATTTGACACTCCTCACATATCCTCTGCATATTTTAAGACAGACCTTTGACTTAGTGGAATATGACAGTGTGCCTGTAATTTTCTTTCTTCTTACTATTGGTGTTTATCTTCTTTCTTTTTTCTCTATCAACTTTTCCCGAGTATACACTGTCAATAAAGGTTGTAATTACATATATTCCTCCTTTCTTCTTAGTTTCTTTACTATGGCAACTCTTTTACACTTCTGGGGCAGTTTGATTTAGTCAAGATATTTACCTGTGTCTGTGGATCTCCTGTAAATATCTGTGATACACAATTTGTGTGTCTTGGTAACTATCATATCTAGAAATGGGAGTTTATCTTTTTCTCTTTCCATTATGAATCCTATTGCTGTATGTTGACTGTTCAGGTGGTGGATACACGTTTTTCTATTCTTGCCTATAGTGTGTGCATGTGTGTGTATATATATCTTATGAATTTATTGTCTGTATCTGAGCCAAATCTTTGGACTTAGAGCAGCTGTTTTGAGGGCATTATCTTTGAAATGTTCCATGTAGATACTACCAACTACCAGTGATTGAAGTGAGCTCATGGACTGGCCTTGTTAGTATTTATCTTCTTGTAAGTTGTAAGTTGTGTTTATACAGAAGGTTGTGAGCTCTGTTATTATGGATGTTGTCAGGTGGGTGCATTCCTTGAGAGTTCTATCATTTACAAGTTGCTGATGGAGTACTTGCAGTGTTTCACAGGTTGAATACATTGAAGCTGACCATTTTGTCTTGAGAGGTTATTGTGGTTGTTTTTATAATATCTACAGAGTGAATCGAGTTCTTAACATGTAAAATTTTACCTTTTAATGGTTATATTTACATGATATCTAACAGAATGGTGGTATGGTGAATATCTGCAGTTGACATAGATGTTTGAGGTATTACTGTGGTGTACTGCTAGTTGTTTGATGGTTTCTGTTCAAAGTCCTTTCTGATCTTTCTTGGAGAGTTGGTTTATTTTTTATCTCTGTGTTAGTGACTAAGTAAGACTATCTTCTTGTAGTAGCAATCTTGAACAACAGGTTGAAGCTTGTTGGAATATTCCACTTTGGAGAAGATTACAGTGACATTACCTTTATCTACTGGTAGAGCCATTATGAGCAGTTTTTTTCTGTTAAGGTAGTGTTACAGTACAGTTTACATTTCATGGCTTTCTGGAGACTGCCAACTTTGATTATGTTTACTTCTACTGGTAAGTTGTTATGTTGTGTCTTTTGTAGATGTAGCTATAACTAGAATGGATATTTTGTTATATGTTAGGGCAAAGTTTACTCATTTCATAGTACACTTTCTTCAGGTTCTGCTAATGGTCATGTACTTAAGTTAATGAATGTGTGTTTAGGTGTGTATGTAGTGTCAGGAGGAATCTTGCTTTTAAAACCCATGAGTGAATAAATATCTTTATGTGAATTTTCTCAGTACATTAAGTACATTTCTCAGTACATTCTCAGTAAGTTTATTGGTATGAGATTTGAATAGCTGTGCACATCTTGATAGTCTATGTTGTCTATTATATTACCTATCATTTAATATAAATTGTTAATATCATTCTGTGTCTTGTGTTTATTGATAAGGAGAAATTTGATCTTACCTGAAAGTAAGGCTTTATTTAGCCTTAAGTCCTTTAGAAATTATGTTGTTTCTCTTTATGAAAGAAGATGAGATAATTACCTGATTTAATTAATTTACAGTTAACTCTTCCTAAATTCCTTACAAAGTCTGGGACTGTATCAGGTATTTAGGTAATTACAGTAAATTGAGGTGATCAGATATCAATCATTTGAAGAAGTTTCTTTACAGACTGCTACTGCCTTTTATTTTAAGTAGTAATGTTTTAGGCTCCAAGATGAGCCCTTCTTCAGGTCTGGAGAGTTGTTTCCTCATTGTGGAATTTACAATACTGTGAAGCAGGTCCTGATGTAAAGCTTCTTAGTTTGATGAATTGTGATTGACTGATTTGGTGGTGTGTTAATCTTGTTTTGTTTTTTTCCTGTTTTTAGTACATGATTCAAAATTATATTAGTGTTTAATCCGTGATATCAGTTAAGACTTGGCCTTTCCATTTTTATTATTAGAGCTTCTTAAATTTTTCTGATTGTCCAGTGTTATTCCGTATCTAAGATCTTCTATTTCTCCCACTTAATGTTGTGTCCATAAAAAACCTTCAAATATTTACCAAACTACCTAAAGGTACTTTCTATGAAGATATCAATCATTGTCATGGTTAGCAACTTATATGATAACCTAAGTTCCAACCCTTTGAGAGACACATCTCATAGATGTCACCATTAATACATAAAAAATCCTTACATGTTTAGAACTCAGTTCATTTTGTACTGTGTCTTATAACACAAGACACAATGATCAGCTTCAATGTAACCAACCTATTCACTCACATTCCAACCCTGACACACTATAAGTACTCCACAAACAGCTTGAAAATGACAGAACTATCAAGGAATGTATCCAACTGACAATTTTCACAATACTAGAAATCACAATCTTCTGTATCTACACAATCTACTTCTAACATGAAAATCATACCAACAACAAGACAAGTCATAGGCTCTCTGCTATCACCAGTACTCAGAAATCTCAGCATGGAACACTTCAGAATAATGCCTTAAAACTGCCACTAAGTCTCAATATTTGGTTCAGATGTGTTGATGATACATTCATACTGTGGCCACACAATACAAATAAGAATAAAAAATAATTCATGAACCATCTGATTATAGATAACATACTACAATACACTTCACAATGGAAATAGAAGAAAATAAACTTACACATCTGAATGTGATGTTTACCAAGACACAAACTCATATATCACACAGGTTTACAGGAAACCCACAGATATGGGTAAATAGCTCAACTATAAATCAAACCATCAAAAGGCATCATAGACTGCCTAGTTTCCAGAATGAATAAGATTTGTCATAAAGAAGGAGGAGGAAGAAAAATACATCACCAACACTCATTGACAATGGATACCCAGAACATTTGACAAAGAATGAAACAAAAGAGATAAACTCGAATAAGCAGGAAGAAAATTAGAGACACAACTATATTTCTCTATGTCAAAAGTATCTTTTAAAACGTACAAAGGATGTGTAAACAGTATTCAGAAAGCAAAATACAATATTATCACTGTTGCTACACAGTAAACCACCTAAGACCCAATTGAGAGCAAAAAAAAAAACACAATTTACAACATCACTTATGAATGTGGACTCCAATACATTGGATAAACAAAGAAATCAAGAAAAGTTAGAATTGAGGAGCTATGAACTATCTGTAACAGCCAATCATACCAGAGAAGAATACTGTATAATAAATGAAATATTAAAATAATTGGGTATGAACCATACAATAAAAAACATATATAAAGGAAGCATTATACATCCACATAATTGATAACATACTCAGTTAAACTAGCATTTATGTCAGCAAATATGGAAATCCCTCAGTACAATTAACTTCCATTAGAACAGTACACTAGCTTTTCTATTAAGGAAACCCACAATCAAATTCTAACCACCAAAGAAACAGTCCTTCCCAGAATGCCATGAAGATGACAGCGGATTTCCAGCTGAATTGTATGATAAAAACTAATTGGTAATAGTATCAACTAATTAATAAAAACATTAACTAATTAATGATTAGACTTGAGTGATTACATAGGCTGGTAGCTGTAACAATCACTGTAGATACTACTGAAAGTATTCTAATCTATATCATATCATTCATTTGTTTTTCTACCAATACTTTACTTTACATATGAAATGAAGAAAGTTAGGTTGTAAGAATCTTGAATCATTATTATCCTTAATCATTAAAAAAAACGATTACTGAGGTGCATAATATATTTACCCAGATTAACTACTGTAGTAATATTATAAAATAAAGGGCAAACGTGTGTAACAAATAATTGTGATCTTATATACAAGTACAAATAGAATCAGTAGTAAAATATCATGCTGTACTTACCCAACTTCAGGACTGTAGCAATATTTCGAATCACAGAAATGGGGTGAGTAAGGCAGAAGTCTTGGAGCTGAGGGGAGAAAGCATCTTTTCTGCTTTCCAACTGAAGAGTAAAATTGATAAAAAGTTCAAAAACTATAATCAATGATGACTTGATGCATTTCATAATAAAGCAATTAAATGAAAATAAAAATTTACATAAAAACATTTAATAATACAGCTGATATATGATGCTGACAAACAATTCTGATATAACAGCAACCAGTCAATATTAATATGTTTCCACAAATAAGGAGATAAAAACATTTAAAAAATATGTATGTACTAATTTACAAAGCAATACATCTTATCACGAAAAAAAAAGGAAAAAAAACACGAACAAGAGAAAACTTGATCCAAAAGCAGTAGACGATTTAAGGACAATGAATAACTTTTGTGAACTGAAGAATTTTGATGGATAAGTAAAATAATTAAAAATTTAGTTATATTTCTAGCTTTTATAAAAAAAAAATGTATTTTGCCTTGAAAGATTTTTTAATTAGAAAATATGACTAAAGGTTTATATTTACTTTAGGTAAAAAAAAAAAATGTAATATATAT